TAGATTTAAAGTGAATTTTGCTTTCACGTCTGAGTTGGAAAACCCAGAAATTTGGCTAGGTTCTTTCATCAAGATAAATAGTACAGTTTATTTCTAGTATTGTGTAATAGTGCTAGTTGAATATTGCTTATTTAAAATTAACAGAAATATTATTTTATTTTTATCATGTTAAATGAAGGTTTCCATCTGACACTTCCCTATTTCTAGCCTGGTTTTGAGAATAAAGTGTGGCATATGTGCCAGGAAATCTGGAAGAAAAGGTAATTAGAAACTGTTGAATGTTTTTTTCCCCATCGTTTAAGGTTGGAAATCAAGTTTTGTCAAATGCGCCTCTCATTGTTGATTAAGACATTTTTTCTCCTATATTCCATACTATTGAATCATTCTTGCTTTCCCAGTTTGAATCGTACTTCACTATTGTGTAACGTACCTTAAATACAATGCTAAACTCTTTGTTAATATTTTATCTATGTGATTTTTACATATATTTTCAAAAGTGCAGTTATTCTATAGTTTGATCTTCAGTATGTATTTTTGTCAGATTTAGTTTCAATGTTATACTTTAAAAAAGCATCCAGGAAGTTTACTTTCTCTCTGTTCTCAAATGTATGTGTGTGTGTGTGTGTGTACTCTTTATATATATATACACACACACACACACACACATTTACACATATTATATTGTATATATTATTCCATATGTACTTATATGGAATAAGAGGGTTTATTTGTTTGCAAACCTATCATATAGAACTTAAACACATGTCAGACACCATTCTGGGCATTATACAAATTCCAGGTCATTTAATACTCATAGCAACATTATGAGGCAGGCTGCTACTATTATTCTTATTTTATAGATGAGAAATGGAGGCACAGGGGTAGTTAAGTGACCTGCCCAAGAGAACACAGTTTATGGCAGCATTAGGCAGGCTTTGACTCCAGACAGTCTGATCCCAGAGTCCAGGCTCTGACATAATTTGAACCTTTGCCTCCTTTTTGTGGTTAGATTTAAAAAAAATTTTTTTTCAACGTTTATTTATTTTTGGGACAGAGAGAGACAGAGCATGAACAGGGGAGGGGCAGAGAGAGGGAGACATAGAATCGGAAACAGGCTCCAGGCTCTGAGCCATCAGCCCAGAGCCTGACGCGGGGCTTGAACTCACGGACCGCGAGATCGTGACCTGGCTGAAGCCAGACGCTTAACCGACTGCGCCACCCAGGCGCCCCGAGATTTTAAATGTCTCCTATGATCGCCATGATTCCCTTCCCTGGATGGAAAGAATCCATTAGTCTAGCGTGCCAAACGAATGGCTGTGAGTTTCACCAAGCAAGCTGACTGAAGACCGTCAGCAAGTATCTACTGAGCATCTCTGTGGCTCAGACCCCAATTTGGATAAGGAAGGTATAGTAGAGAACACTGCAAAAAAAGGGGGGGGGAATCACATCTCTACTTTCAGTAACATTCAAAGGGGGACATAAACAGTATCATAGGTAAGGTGGTAGCAAGTACCAAGAAAACATAAAATAGGATAAAGGGACACTGGGTGCTAGGGGAAGGAGGTGGGCTACCTCACATGGGGTGTCCGGGAAAATCAGAAGGAAACAATGGAAACGGCCACGAGGCTGGGCATCTGGGTAGAGTGTTGCACCACCAGCAAGGGAAAGTACTTCAAAGGGAGAGTGCTTGGAGAGTTCTAGAAAGGGTAAAGAAGACAATGTGCTGGCACAGAGTGACAGGGGAGTGCGTGCTGAAGGGTGGGATTCTGGAGCCGTGTCACACAGGGTCTGGTAAGCCATGGTGGAGACTGCTCCAGTTCATTAAGGCGGAAAGCCAGGGGAAAAATCTGCTGAGCAGCCCACGGTGACTTACATGCACGAAGAGATCATTCTGACTGGACTGCAGCACAAGGAACGATGGGGCAGGGCTGGGGGCAGGGAGACCAGAAAGCGTTCTTGCAGTCTGTGAGGAAACCACGGTTCTAACAAATGCAGAAGAGTTGGAAAAGGTGAAGTGTTTCAATTGTGGATATTTTTAGAAGGCCGATGGGACCAGAATTCCTGCAGAGGGGATGTGAGAAGAAGGAAGAACGCGAGGGTGGCTCCAAGATTCACAGCTTCGGCGGCTGGAGGACTGACTGCAGGAGCACTTCCTAAGTGACCGAGGCTAGAAGAGCAGCAGGCGTGAGAGAAAGGTCCCAGATGTGATTTTAGCTTCGTTAATTCTGAGATGCTGCGTTAGTTTTCTATTACTGCTGTAACAGGTTACCACAAACCTAGCAGCTTAACACACACATATGTATTATCTTATAGCTCTGTAGGTCTCACTGGGCTAAAAGCAGGGGTGTGGGCAGGACCACGTTCCTTCTGGGCGCTCCAGAGGAATCTGTTTCCTTGACTTTTCCAGCCTCTAGAGGTTGCCCATGTTCCTTGGCTCGGGGCCCCTTCCTCCCACCCCAGAGCCAGCCAACAGGGGCAAAGTCCTTCTTGTAGGGCACCTCCCTGACTTTTCTGTCTCTTCTGCTTAGAAGGACCCTTGTGATTACATTGGACCCTCTGCCTCCCGATGATCCAGAGGGATCTGCCTGTGTAAGTTCGGCTGATTAGCAACTTAGTTCCATATACAATCTTCATTCCCTTTGCCACGTAAGGTAACATGGGCACTTATTCTGGAAATTAGGGTGTGGACATTTGGTGGTGAGCATGATTCTTCCTACCATAGATGCCTATTTGAAAACTGAATGGAGCTACAATACAGTCATAGATGCCTTTTAACTTAAAAATCTTTATATTCTAAAAGAAATATTTTAACAAGCAAGATTGGAGTTGACTCTTTTAATAAAAATGCAGAATTACCAAATCAGCTCTTTTTATATAAATTTCAATTGTAAAGCATTTAGAATTAAAACAACTTGCTTAATAACTATTATACTCTTACAGATGTTTACACTAATGGATACAAGTGTATTGGTCATCACTTTTGGGCTCATTGTTCACTTAATTAAGCTTTTTTAAAAAGGCACTTTTGAGGAAAAAATTATTTTGAAGCCTCTAAATAAAGCCTTTAATTCTTTGGAGTCATAAAATTGAAAGAAGTACCATGTTATTTTTTTTAATTGCTGTTCACCAACAAATATATATAAGTTAATCATGAAAAGGACACCAGAAAATGGCTTTATCCTTATTAAATATCAACTAATAATATTTTGATTGCATTCTTTGTTATATATGTTTGTATATAACATACACAATATGTATATAATATTTATATACATGTATATACAATATGTATATATAACATATACAAACATATAATGTATATAATATACATACACATATATAAAGACATGGATATTTATAAACATTGACACATTCACATGTATGCATTTACCAAATGTACAGTTTTAAGCCTGCTTGATTAATATATTAAGCACCATTTCATGTCACATTCTTGATGCCATCATTTTTAACGGTATTATAGTAACCACTTCTCATTATTGGATATTTAGATTGCTAATTTTACTTTGAATATCATTGACATAAGCAAACTTGTATTGAAATCATTGCATATATCCATCCTGTGATTGATTCTCGGGATAAACCTCTCAAAGAAAAATTGTCAGGACAAAGGATATTCACATTTTTTAAGGTTTCCAATATGAAATGAAAATCATGTTAGTCTTTGAAACCAGTGCTCTGTCAATTGTTTGTTACCATCAACTTATACAGAAGTTTTGATTAAGGACATAGACTTTGAATCTCACATTGTGAAAATTACTGGTATATCAGGACTTATTATTCGCATTCTAAGGGAGGGTTCGGGGATTCCTTTTCCCTTACTGTCAACAAACATGAAGCACTATTATCATATTTACATTGAGAAGAAATATTGCCACTTATTTTCCTTTGCTTTTGTTTTAAGTAACAAAAAACAAAATACAGGAAATAGTTATATTAATAAAAATCGTAATTATGTTACTGCGATTACTATTAGTAGGCAGTGTGCTAAGTGACTGTATTTATTTAATCCTCACAATAAAGCTATGGTTTACATAGCTTTCATTTTACAAGGCATAGAAAAACCATACCTTAGGCCACCTGATGAGGAAGTAGCAAAGCCAGGATTCAAATTAAGTCTGTGCAATACCAGAGTCCCATCTCCTAAAGCAAAATCCTATACTCCCTTGATCTCCCCCAGCTAGGAGCAAGGGTAGCAGTGGTAGTAATAGTATTATCATCATTCATTCATTCATTCATTCATTCAAAAGATTACTGAGTGCCTAATATGTGCCAGTCTCTGCCAGCTACTTGGAGATTGCAGTGAACGTAGCAAACAGAGCCACTAACCTCGCCCTGCTCACGGTCTGTTAGGGAGGGCAATTATTTAGGTGGTAATTACCCTACCCTAGAGTACACAGAGTGTTATATTGGGGGGATTCCAGGCTGCCACATAACTGTGTGTTCTCTGCCCTTCTAGTACTTTCTATTCACCTTTATTGACCTCGATACATTGAAAGGCAAATATCTGTGTATGTGCTGGCTTCGCCCCTTAGACATCGGGCTCCTTGAGAACTGGCATGTTATTTACTTTTATGTCCCTAGAAACGAACGTATTTCCAGAGAACATAGTAGGTGCCTAATAAATGTTTTTTGAATGATTGATTATTATAGCTTGTCTCTAATTAAGGTAAGCAATTTCTGTGTCACTCTTCTGTTACTCTCAATGATATATTATTTTAAAATGAGAATGTTAATTATGTGATTTATGCTAATCAACCTAATTTCTCAGAATTAAGAATAATGTAGTTCATTCACTATCTCATTCAACAAATGCTTTCTTCACTTACCACATACAAAAATATTAGTTTGTATATTGCAGGAAGGACGGAAATAAATTAGGTGCTGAGCTCATATTCAGGATTTTGAATCTAATAGAAAAGGTAAGGTAATGTCATAAACAATACTGCAGTGACCGTTCAGGAACTCTGTGTGTGTGTGTGTGTGTGTGTGTGTGTGTGTGTGTGTGTGTGTGTCTGGGTGTTGTTACTGCTGCAAGAAGTTCTACAGCCACCCTTGGAAAGAATGACTTTATTGGAAGGAAAGGGGCAGTGACTCATTCTCCTAGAAGAAGGCTGGGCTGTCTTTCAGTCCTTCCTAATGACCATCGAGCTTTGCAAATGAATCATTGGAGTGTGGAAGGAACCCTCTGTGTCGGATGATCTTTCAGGGCAAGGGAGATATAGTTTGCCGTGTGGGGGTAGGTGTTGGACCCCACTTGAATTCAGAGGCTCTGATGCAGAAAGGCCTCAGAGGAAGATGGCTGTGTGGGTACCCAGATGGACTGACGTTAGGGCTCAGGCCTCAGGAATCTGAACAGAAGGTGAGTCATAACCAAGCTGGTAATGGGGCAATGAAGTCATGCTCAAAGCCGCCCTCCTTCCAAAGACCAGGCTGGCCAAGGCAGGGATTCACCGTGAAGCAATAGTGATGGGCAGAGACGGGAAGACCCCAACAGCTCAGCAGTGATGCTGGACCGGCAGCTGGTGTCAGGGGCAGACTATGATGCCAGAGTTCTTCCCAGTCAGGCGTTCAGGGGTCCAGAGCTCTGCAAAGTTTAGGAAACCCCCACCTACTTCCCCTATATGTAAATCAAAGTCAACACTAAGCTGTAAAATGTAAAACTCTGTGTGTGCTAAAATCAAATACCCTCTTTCTATATTTTCAGATGAAAAAAGAAAGAAAAACATGAACCTTCTTCGTCTTGCTGATGCCCCGGTTTTGCTGGTGGGTGAGCCTTTGCTTACTTACTCTGTGTAAAGGGTAAGCATTCACTTGTCCCCTCTTGAGGAGGGAACACTTGGGACCTATTTTCTGGGCTCATTTTCCTGGATGTTCTAGGTTGGCAAGTAAGCTGCATCAACAATAGGGTTCTGGACTTCTTGCTGGTCTAGACCTGTTCTGTGTTTCTAGAACACAGTTGTCATTTAATGTGAGAAGTGAACAGTATGGTCTTATTCATACCCTGAGCCGTGTGAAACAATCCATATTTTTTACACCAAAAATATAAGAAAGGGCTAAGAACAATTTGAGAAGTTTAAATAAATTGCTAATGGAAACTTAGAGAACAGAGGTAATACCATTCATTAGGAGCCTGAAAGGATTTCTGGAGGAGGTTGTCTTTAGGCTTTAAGGGTGAAGGCAGGGCAGGAACCACAGGAGGAGGAGGCAGGCAGGAGCTGTGAAGAAGGACCCGCCCTGGAGGGCCCAGACAGGCTGGAAAGACACCCATAGCTGTAGCGGCCGCACCGTTTGGAAAAGCGTGCACTCGGGAGCCCTGTCACACCAATGGCAGGGGCGCCGCCTGCCCGCCTGCCTTCTGGCCTCTTGCTGCTGAGCTGTTCGAGTCAGAGATCCAGCACCGGCCTGGAAAGAGTCTCCCTTTCCTCCTGCAGTGTGCCCCACACCCAGGGGCTCCCCACAGAGCACTGCACCAGCTGGCCAAAGAGAGGGGGATTACGGGGCAAAGAAGGGTGGGTTTGGAGAAAAGCAGCAACAGATTGATCACTGGCACAATGGCTGAGGCTGTGTATATATCTCAGAATGATGGGAAAAGTACCTTATGTTCTAGTTCAGGTGGTAAAGTATCAGAATAAAAGTTATCTGAGGAAAATGGAGAATCTGCTTTCCAATGACCTCCTCCAGGTGTAGCCTGTCTGTACCTACAGCCCCTTGTGTGGCAGCCTCTAGGGTTTCCCCATAGGGCTTCCACCATTATAGTGTATGTTACTTAGTTATATTCTAGACTGCTTAGTTGTAGTCTAAGTTATAGCTTATATTGCTTACATTTATATTGCTTAGCTATATTTTATGTTACTTATATGTTAGTTATATTCTAGATTACTTAGTTATATCTTATATTACTTAGTTATGTCTTAGATTACTTATATTCTATATTGCTTAGTTATATTCTATATTGCTTAGTTGTGTTTTATATTGCTTATATTTTATATTACTTGGTTATATTTCATGTTACTTGGTTATATTTCATGTTCCATAGTTATATTTTGTTAGTTATGTTAGTTATATCCTAGATTACTTAGTTATACCTTATATTGCTTAGTTGTATCTTATATTACTTAGTTATGTCTTATATTACTTAATTATATCTTATATTACTTAGTTATAGTCTATATTGTTTAGTTATATTCTATATTGCTTAGTTACATTTTGTGTTGCTTGGTTATATTTTATAATGCTTGGTTATATTTCATGTTACTTGGTTGTATTTCATGTTACATAGTTATATTTTATGTTACTTAGTTATATGTTAGTTATATCCTATATTGCCTAGTTATATCTTATATTGATTAGTTATATTCTATCTTACTTAGTTATATTTTATATTATTGTTATATTTTACTGGCTTGGCAAACTGCCCTTCACTTTTACCAGTTAAACCCTGTTTCCTCAGACGAATATACCTGATACATTGCACCCACCAACCTGCATCTGCTCTGTTCTCACTCGGAAATCCGCACAGTATTTGGCTTATGGTCCTCATGACTTTTTATTTTAAGTGAATTGGATCCAAGTGAAAAGTAGGCGATGAAAACCACAGTCTTTGCCGTCAGACCGGAGGGCAGATGCCAGAGGTGTCACTTAAGTTTGCTGTGACCCTGAGCACATTACTTAATCTTTCTTAGGCACAGCGTTCCGGTCCCTGGAATGAGGATTTAAAAACCAAAGAACCTATCTGGTATGGTTTCTGTGAGGATTAAACGAGACTGCGCAGGAAACATTTAGGTTCGCACCTAGTAATTCCTCAACAAATGGCAGCTCTTATTAATAGAGGGCATTTCAAGTTTCACTGAGTCTTAAAATGAATGGAAAGACAACAGATTTTTGGTGTGGTCTTCAAGCCCTGCTTTCCTAAATAAGATTTCAGAAAATGAAAGAGCAAAAAACACAAGGGTCTCACAGCAAGAACTGAGTTCTTGACGAGTGACTAGTAAAACTAGGAAGTTCATTCCACAGGGGTAATAACAACAGGGAGTTTAAAAAGGAATAATCTGATCGAGTTTGCATTTCATCAGACTGTGTTAGAGGCCGAATCTGTTTTACTGTCTCATTTATGTGACAGATGGTGTGACAACTTATTGAACTGATAAATAGTTTTCAGGTATTTAATCAGAGGGCAATCATCTTACTGTATTTCCCCTCGCCTAATTCAAAACAGATCCAGCCCTTTGTCCGGAATGTTTCCTGTATGCGTCCTGCCAGTCAGCAGGCCGGGCTGTCGCTGTCAGACTGTGTGTCTACAGCAGACTCCTGGAGAAACAGCATGCTTATGTCACGAGCCACGTCTGTCATGGCAGGATCCATGTTTCTCCTCAGGCTAATCATATCTGATGCAGGCACCAGGGCTCCCCCCCCCCACTAAAAGCAAGGATACCAGCTTGGGAAGAGGTGCCTTAAAGATCAAAACCGGGTCTGCGGCAGTGACATGCGGGTTTGTGAATCGGGAATGGCAGCGTCAAATCTCTCCTGAAGCGAGGAGACAGCCGTTGGCCGGCAGAAATGGAGCACGGGGCGTTGCTGGCTCCAATTAGGGAGACACGATTTGCAAAGCGGCCATGTTCACGGGCAGTGTTCCGTGAAGTCCTGTACAGAACGCTAGAAAAATCATCGAGGAAGGAACAGGTGACGTGTGAGATGCAAGCAGGTCTGTATCTCACACGAGACGAGAGCAGAAAAGAGTTGCCTCTTCCCACCTTTCACTTTGAGGAGAGATGGTTTTGCTCTGGACGGGCTGGGTGGTTTTTGTTTCTATTAGGGAGAACAAGGGAGCAGGAGCTAAGAACTGAGATTCAAACCTGGTAAGATGATAATGGTGATAATCATCATCATCATCATCATCATCATCATCATCATCACTATGTTCATTTAGGGACCTTAAAATAATTATTGTTTAGAGGCTCAAATAATAATAACAAAATAGTAACATATTACTTAACATTTATTGGTACTCATTATGTGCTAGTCAGTCTCTCTTAATCCATTTAATCCTCGTTAAAAACCATGCTAGAACTTTTCACTACTTAATTATTCCTTGACATATTGAACGCTTATTTAGCCCACACTCTGTGACACACGGTTCTAGCTATTTCTCACAACACCAAGAGGCAGGTGCAGTCATCCTCTTGCAGACACTCAGAGAGGGTAAGTGGTTTCCCAAAGCCATCCGGCTAGTGGCTGGCAGGAGCTTCGAATTCATATCTAGCTCATAATTTTTCCTTCATCCCGGACTACCTCTCAACCCACGCCCCCCACCCCCCAACCCGATGTTTCAGCGTGTATCAGTACAGGAGCCCTTGGGGAAGTCCCCAAGCTCACTGTCCCCTCATTTGTGTCATTATCCTTTGTGCTGAGAAGTTAAATGGGAGATGACATCAAATTCCTCAGATGACACATAAGTACATTCCAGTTGAATCATGCCCGGTGTGTTTCTCTTTATACTGGAACCTCAGTAATATAGTAATCCAGTCATTCGTTTTCATCAGGATTTAAGTAACATATAGTCCACAACTATGTGTGTGGTGAACGTAGTATAGTGTTGTCAAATCAAAATGTTGTACACTTGAAACTAGCGTAACACTGTATGTCTGTACTTCACTTTTATAGACATACATATATACATACATCTGTATACACACATACACAGATACACACACACACAGCTAGATATAAAAATAGCACTAAGAGTCATGGCTTTGGATCTGTTCGTGTTTCCCTAAAGCACAAGCTTTCCCTGCCTGTGGTGTCAACAAACATCTTCCTATCTAAGGGCTGAGGAATGGAAGGTACAGATAACCTAACAGGAACCATACTTAGGGAGTCTTGAACAGCCCCTATGTTACAGTCATTTCCTTTATGTCACTGGGGAAATTCAAAATAGAAGTTCATTGTGATTTCAGATATTCATCATGGATGTGCTTATAGAAAAACCTATCTGGTGTAGTAAAATTAGGATGATACCATCTTTCTGATCATTTCATGCCTGTCACTGAAATGTATTTTGTGGAAAGTCTGATGAAATCAGCCACAACTTTTTAAAGAAACAATCCCATCTACGGTTTGGACTATGTATGTTTAGACATGTGTAACAGTGAAAGTGAATTAGAAAGTACTTGGTAAACTTTGTTTTCTCCCAAACTATGTCTATAAGCAAACTAAATTCAATGACCTCTTTTACTAAACTCTTCCAGAATTCTATTGGTTTCGTATTTACATCCATTCTTCTTTCATTAAATAAATGAATGTATAATCACGATTTATGATTATACTCTGTTTTGCCTTCAGAAGGAAAATGAGGCATGTATACATTCTGATGGGAAGTGAAAAAAGAAAAATAAACCTATGAGGTGATATGTATAATGAAGAGCAAAAATGTGTGAAAAAAATTAAGGTGAAACCAAAATTAAGATGAACATACCAGTCGCATGCCATGAGGTCCTAAGTGGATGATAAAGATGGGCCATAAATTTAGTTTTGAACTTCCTGGTGGCCAAAGCAAAAAAGACATATTATCATTAGTTTATTCATTCAAGGAAAATAAACTAATCTGCTAGTATTTGATAGGTGCCCTTGAGGGCATTATAATCTTCCAAAGATTATAATGCATTATTCAAGAGATGCACATCTTTTCCTAATGTTAAGAGCTAAGGGAAAGTCCTCTTGTGGATCCTTATAAAACAAGTCTAGTTGATTTTTCTATTGTGCAATGACAAATAATTGCAGTGAGTCGATGAAGCGGTGGTAATGATGTATACAAAGTACAGAGGGAATGCAGGAGAAGGACATGTGAGTCAGCCTGAAGAAATGAGAGTCCTGATGACTAGTTAGCATTTAGGTCATTCTTGAGAACTGATGAATTACCCAGCAGAGCTTTCTGGTATTCCAAGCTTGCAAAGAGGACAAGTACACAGGAATGTGTACATGCCAATGAATGTTCAGGGCTTCCTAGTAGTTCAGGTTTGCATTTGTATAAATTTTGAGCAACAGATAATGATGGATGGGGAAGCAGGAAGTCAGATCATTAAGTGCCTTGAGTGTCACACAAAATAAGTAAAACTTGGTTTGCTGCAAATGAGAGCTATTGAAGAGTGACAATCAGATCTGTAAGTTAGAGGGGATAGAGGGGGAAAAAGTGCTGAGAAAGTTGGGGAAAGATTGCCTCCTGAAAGGAAGAAAAAGGAAGTAGTGTAACAGCCGGGGTCAGAGGCGATTATGTAGGCCTTGGCCTGTGGAGGTCAATCATAGAACAAGAATGATAAGAGTAGATCCAGGAAATATTTAGGAGCTCGGATATTCATGCACGGATTGGACTGAGAAGTCTCCACTCACACTGATGTAAACATGGGACAGTTTCATCTTTCCCAAGCAGCTTCTAATTACCGACTTTCTTTTTCTCCTGAGAAGCAGACTCTGCATGACATCTTAGTATAATTTCATAATATTTTGGTCACTTGGGCTCTTAAAAAAGCTTTTTCTGCTCTTCAGAATTCTCCTCCCTCAGCACAGACAAGACTTGTGGGAAGGGGCTCCTGGTGGGTTCTTTTCATTACCACCCCTGCGTTTTCCCTCCCGTCATACCCCTCAAGCCCCGACCTGCCAATGGCAGAGTGTGAGGGAGGAGGGGCACTGGCTTCCCTGAACTGCACAAATTGCTCCTGACAGGCACATCATCCCCCTTCTCTTGGCTACTTCGTCTCAGGGCAAAGCTGTCCGCACACAGACTTCCACCTGTCGGTCCTCTTTTGTGGGTACATTTGTTTTGTGGGTGCATCCCTTGCAGTCCTCTGACCTGGGAGATCTGGCTTGGCCATGAGCCAATTCCTCCTTCCCTAAGGCTCCCATACCTCCCAGACGCCCAGCAGGAGGTCTGTTCACCCCACAGTTTTCCTGCTGAGGAGGACCCCTGAACCACGGAATGCCCCTGGCCCATGGTGGGGTGGGGTGCTGGAGCCAGAAGTGTGACGTGAGCCTCAGTCCCCGGTTGAAGAAGGGAAATGTAGAGTCACACATCCTTGCGTGGGAACGCGGACTGCATCTTTGGGCTCCCTGTCTTGGCTGCCCCTTTCTTCACACCCAACGCCATTGGAGGTTCTACCATTTTGATGGCTCAACAACTTCCAGACAAGCATTTTTCACCAGTCCCCACTCAGTGTGACATGGAAAGGGAAGGTTTCAACACCTGTCATCTTGTAGGAGAGGGACGGAAAGGGTGAATATTCTTTATAGAGAGAAGTGAGACCTGAATGGGAGGGCTACCATTCTCCAAACTCTGCCTATCCCCAGAAGGTGAGGACCCCTTCCTCCAGGTCGTGCTTGTGCCTCTGGCTGATAAAGACCACCAAAGCAGCTTCTCTTGTACTGGGGGAAAACTGAGGGTCTCACCGGCAGAACGTAGACGTGGTCCTCACCGTAATGCCTCGCCCTACTGATTACTTCCAGACACGGGAAGCAATGTCAATCCCTATCTCACACAGCATTTTGTTATATAACTTCTGGAAAGACTGAATGTGAATAGTAAAGAGCCATAGAAACGTCTCCAAAATTTTTTGCCCTGGGAGACTGAAGGGGTAGTGGCATAATCCACCAGGGCAAGTGACACGAAGAGATGAAGTTGAGGGCAGATGACAACGTCCTCCATTTTAGACGTGTTTAGTCTGAGGTGTTTTTGGCAGAACCAGGTGGAGGTGTTCGGACGCAGGTTGGTTCTACGTATTTGTGCCTCCAAAGGGAGAAACTCGGGCTGTAGGTACAGATTAGTAGCTCACTGGCTCGGAGTTGAAGGTACAGATACTGATTTCAAAACCACAAGCTTCTCCTAAGCTGGAACGAAAACTCCGTTTCTCTCCCAAATTTGAAAATTTTCATAGGATTGTAGAACTTCACGAGGGAAACACCTCAGATGTCATCTCTCTGGTCCCGCTGATTATCTTTAGGTAAACAGTGCCTATCAACACTACTGTAGTTAAATATTAGCTTGGGCATTTAATTATCTGAACAAACCCCAAACAATGTAATTGTTTTGTATTATGTTTAAAAAAAAAAGCCATTCCTCATAGAGATGCATTTGTGTGGCAGTAAAGATTCTATAATGTTTGTTTCGTGTGATCAAAGCAGCAATTTTACCCTCTGATCCGAGTATCATTCCTTATGGTTTGGGAACTTAGCAATTAAGACCACAGATTATTTTCTCGGTATCCATCACTTTGATAAATCTTAGGCAGCTACATGAGTTCTTTAAAGGAAATAATAAATCTAACAAATATACCTGAGTGACCATTTCAGACTATATTTATCCCCTGAAATCTAAAGCCTTCATTAGCTTTCTCCAAAGAGTTCTCATAGAGAGTTAGAGCATAACTTCAAATGATATTTTCCAAATTTTTTGAGATCCCTTACTGGGAAAGAGTCACAGACATGTTTTTTTACTGAATGAGATTAAATTACACCAACTCTTAGAAAGAGAATGCTGCATTCCTATTGGATTGTTGGGGGGGGGCGCCCCCGGGGGGGGGGGGAGACTGCCTGGGCGGTTTGTCGAGGTGGGGGGGGGGGGG